GGGCGAGACGGAGGGAGGAGGGGGAAACGGTCAGTAAAAGGCAGAGAGAGAAAAAGCAATGAGAGGGGGAGGGGGCAGCCCCCAAAACCGCTAACGACCCAAGCTTCGGAAAAGCGGCTTCTCTCGAGGGAAAGAAACAAAACTGGGGAACTGAGAAAATGAGGAAATTCCGGGGCTCCGCGAGGAAGGACGGGAGGGGGTGAGAAACAGGGAGGCTGTGGCGGAAAGAGAGGGGTGGTGTCGCCCGAGAGAAGGGTCCCCGGGGAAAGGGAGCGCCGGAGGACCGGAAACCGAGGACAAGAATGTTGGCGGTGGGACGAGACAGGGAGGCCTCCGGGGTCGTCGAATCTGACTAAAAAAACGAGCAAGGGGACGAACCGGGGCCGGGACAGCGCGGGGCGCCGCGGTACCTGCAGAGATCGTCCAGGACGCTGCCGGGAATCTCCACCCGTTTGGTCTCCATGATGAGGACCCACAGCAGGAGCAGTGCATCCCGGCTCCGCGCGGCCGGGGACGAGGGTACGGCACGGAGACTCCGGCTCGCCGGAGAGCGGGCAGCCGCGGCGGCAGCACACGCGAAGGCGAGAGGGGGAAGGGGCAAAACCCGCTCACTTCCGTCCCGCACCCTCTGCCCTGGACCCCAGAGGCTGGGCCGAGGCGCGGGGCGGAGCCCCGGGGGGTTACGCCCCTGTTCTACTTGAACGGCCCAATGGGAAGCTGGAGCATCGGGAACCTGCGCGCGTAAGCCAATGAGACGTTTGCTTATTGGTCCGTCGCCTCCAGACCTCTTCTAGCTGTTCAATTGCTACTCAGGAAACCAACTTCCCGCCGCCTTGAACCGAGCCTTGGGGTGGGTCCGCACATGCGCACCGTGCATCCTTCGCTACCAGGAAGTTTAAAAGGACTCGGGTCTGCGCTGTCGACCCGGAGGCTTGGAGCGGGACCTGGGCGAGGTCTGGAGCAGGCTCTCCTACCTCTGCAGGGCACGGCTCCTGTTGTCAGGGATCCTGCACGCACTCGCCGCTGCCCTCCAGTTCTGTGGTGGCTCCTCTCTGCCCCTCTTCATACCTGGCACATAGTGACCCGGAACCCGGGAACCTGCATCCTACCTGGTCCTCCTCGTTCATTCCTCACCTGGCTGAGTCATTCATTCCTCATCTGGCTTAATTGAATACAATCCTTTTGAGACCCTACTTCCTCCTTTTACATCAAACCCACAGGCCCAACACCCCTGCTAGGTCGCTAGTCAGTTCTACAGTTTGATTTCCCATCATTTCTGACCAAATGCCTACACTTACATCAGATTCTCACGATTTCTCCAAACTAGGGCCGGAGCAGCCCAACCAAGCACCTCTGCCTCCATTCTCCGCCTGCAGAAGGGCCCAGTTTTGTTGCCGCTCTTGTTCGCATAGGAAGAGGTTACTATCTATGATCAAGCCCAAACTGTTCACGTCTTTAGAGCCCCGTTACCATTTATTTTACTCTCTTGTTTTCCTTCTTGGTCTTTTTCCGCTTTATTGGAGAATTTCTCAAATTTATCTCCTAGCCGCCTATAAAGTTTTTACTTCTCCAGAGCTGTTTTGTTCTTCGGCTCTCTTTGTTGCCGCGTCACAGCCTTGCTTCACAGATTCCTTATCCCTATGAGGGTATTACTAATACCTTTTAAAAGTTTTCTTCTTCCTGAATAGTCTCGTATTCCTCTCAGCTCTTCGCTATTAACTTGATCTCTATCAAATTATAAGTTTTCTGGTGATCCTCAACTACAGGCATACCTTGTTTTCTTTTATTGCACTTTGCTTTATTGTGCTTCCCAGGTGTTGCATTTTTTGCAGATTGAAGACAAGAGAGTCCCTACCAGCAAAGAGATTATGTCTCCCTTTATTACAATATTCGCTTCATTGCAGTGGTCTGGAACCGAACCTGCAGTATCTCTAAAGTATTCCTGTATTCATTTGTACTTGAGAGTAGGAACCTAAAAACTGGAATTAAGTGCTACAAAAGGTGATTGGAAGCTCCCAGCATGTAGGTGGGACTAGCGGCCTGAGAGCTTCACGGTGGGATGACCCGGCTGGGCTGTTGGCTGGGAACACGTGGCATCAGTATCTGTAGGCCATTCTTTCCAGCTGGTCAAATTCCCTAAAGAGAAAATCCTTCCAGGTGTCAACGTAAGAAATATCCAAATCTGTAGAGAATTTCTGTGAGTTTATTTGAGCCAAATGGGGGACTTAGCTGGGGAGTAAGATCTCAAATGCTCCTGAAGATGGCAGTTTTTCAGCTTAATTTATACGTTAGAATCCAAGGAGGAGAGATAAGGTAGATGCATAAAAGCCATTGGTGGTAGATTGAGGAAGTGGGAGGAGCAAGCATAGCGGGAAATCTCTAGGATTGGATGAAAGGCAAAATAGAGAAACACACACTTCTTTTACATTGATGGGTACAGGATAGTTAACAAGGAACATTTACAGCACAGAGATGGTGTGTGGGGAACAAGTGAACAGTGAGGGATTCTGTGGTTTTGTGCTCTGGTGCCCTCAGTCATGTCTTCGAAGGGGTAGGAAAAGAAAATTACTCTGACATTTTAAAGGCATGTTATCCTAGGTGCATAAGAACAGTGGACAAAGCTCGCTTAAGGTAAAGATTGACCTTTGCTGAGGAGGTTATAGGCCTGGGACGTGATTACCTGCTATAACCTGTCTAGTTAGGAATTTGTGATCGGACTGGCCTATGTGGTTACTTTTGGTCACTGAGCTTGTCAGGCCTGCCACGTGGCCCCCTGAGCTTGTCAGGTTTATTACATACCCCTTTTTTGGTTCACACAGGCCAAGCTGGAAGTATTTGGGGAGTCAAGTCAGAAAGCACAGGCTGGAGTATCTGTTTGCTTTACTCAATCTTCCTCGGCACAGTACAGGTTTATTTTGGGTTTCCTTAGAAGTAGGCCCTGAGATAAGAATTTGAGTACAAGTCATTTATGTGGGAGGTGATTCTGAGAAAGGTTGACAGAAGACAGGGAAATGAGTCAACAAAAGGATTATTATCAAGGAAGTTAGCACTGTGAGTGGGGCTCATCCTGCTGGAGAACTTTGGAGGACAGCATAAAACACACTTTACAGTTTCTCCACTCAAGGGGTGAGGAAGATGGGTTATTTATATACTAACTTCCACCTGCTCTTGTTTGAGGGCTGCTCCTGGGGCCTGCACCCCAGCCTACCACATGGGCAGCAATGCAGGCTCTGGGGGCCAGAAAAAGCCCTCATGCAAAGAAATGCAGATGCTAGCAGTTGGAAGTCCAGACACCATGGCATAAAGCATTAATGAGGGTGAGAGTGAGCCAGTTCTGTAGTTCTATTTTGCTGGATGCACATTCTACCTGTCCTAACTAAAATTCTTTTCTCTGTCAGGCATCACCTTAGTGGCTATTTTTCTTTGTTGTCCACTTGGAGCTGAAGTCTGGTTTTTAGAGTACTTTAAATGACGGTAGTGAAACAATAGTGCAAAGCAAAGTGGTGTTTACCCCCAAGGGGCTGATAGTATACAAACAAGCAGATTACCAGGCCCCTGCTGAAGGGCCTAGAGGAAGTCTTCCTGCTTTCCTGTCTTTAGAGTCTCCCAGCTCAGGGGAAGCTATACAACTCCTTTTGGGGCCCTTAGGGGCCAGGAAGTCCCCAAATTCTCACACAACCAATCTCCCCAACAAAGAGTCCCAGAGATGTCTAGGGGCAAGCATCTTCTAAGCTACTTTCCTTCCTCCTCACACACACATTTCTAGGAGCTGGGCTAGTGCACAATAGAGCAGCCCTCCTAGCAGTCCTCTGAGAAAAGATTCCATAGAACCCAATGCCTCATTCAAATCCAACTGTCCACAGGCCCCAACAGCCTGTAGCTTGAGAAGGGCAGATAAATTGGAGTTTGGAGTTAAGGGAAAGGGAGATGCTAGGATTCTTAAAGTATAACACTGATACGAGTTTTAAATAGTTGTGTTGATCCAAACCTTTGACAAGAAAAAGATTCTGAGATTTTCTAAATTAAAATGACGGCAGCTGGAAAGTGAGAGAAAGAGAACAGTTAGCCTGTTAATAGCTGTGGACCAGCCCTGACAAAAGACTACTCACATTCCTATACATCTGTTGGAATTTCAGATTTTCCAGGTGACTATTTCCCCAATTGTCCAAAAGAGAGAACAGCCAGGCACCATAGAAGTCCAAGAGCCTCCACTTCTTATTTACACATGAACTTTCCAATCCGCGTCCACAGCCAATCCACAGGAGCTAACACTTCTTCCTTGTGGACTCTGCTGCTCCTATCCCAGAACTAGCCCTGCTTCCCCTCCTCCCACCCCCTTTGTCTATAGCTAATGTAAATCATTTCAGAACAGCTCATGTCCAGCTCACGTCTTTCTTCCCCCTATTTGATGTACAGAAATGCTTGCAAAACTCTGGGACAACAGATGTGTGTCTTTCCTACCTAGCCATGCTGTTGGTGGTTTAGACACCATGGCCCAAGACTGGTCTTTCTTTGCCAGCAATAGCCTAATAATTCCTTCCTTTTTTTCTTTTTCTAATATGTTTCCATATTGGTTTTACAGAAAGAGGAAGGTGAAGGGAAAGGGAGAAACATCAATCTGGTGCCTCCTGCACACCCCTACTGGGGATCAAGTCCACAATCCAGGCAAGTGCCCTGTCCAAGAATTGATCCAGAGACCCTTTGGTGCACAGGACTACCCTCAACCAACTGAGCACACCAGCCAGGGTAAATCCTTCCTTTTGAAAAAGACTTTTCAGCCATAGAAGTTAAAATTTTTTTGTTTAACACCTGTAGAGTTCTAAAATATGCTATCTCATTTAGTCTATAACTACATGGGATAGGCAAATCAATTAATGAGGCTTACAAAGATTAAGTGACTTATAAAGATTAAATGATTAAATTGCTGTGTGTACTGGAGCCAGGATTAGAATTCAGTTCGTCTGAACTCACAGCAGGAATTCTACGTTAGGGAGAATGACACAATAATAATTATTAATACCTACACAGCATATTATAGTATAAAATTCTTTTCAAATATCATAATTCTCACAAATGTTAAAGGAAAAAACCATAGGCCTAAAATGGCATCACTGGTGCTAAAAGCCCATGATACTAAACCTAGATTTAATAGCTGATCTAATTTCAATTTCAGCTTTTCCCAGAAATGTAATTTAAATCACTAGTCTGGAATTTTCTGGTCAAGCACCACTAATCTGTTATATGGGCCCTCTTCATCCTCTATAGAAAGAAGAGGCAATCTGTATGATAAAAACCTTCATTTTCTTCCCACAAAGAAAAGATGTCTAGGCCAGAGAATAATCCTTCCTTTTGTTAATAGCTCTCTTGCCCCACCCTTCTTCCTGTAAAATCCTTCCATTTTGTGCAACCCCTCAGAGTGCCCTTCCAGTTGCTAGTTGTTGGCATGCTGCTCAATTTATGAATCACTTAATAAAGCTAATTAGATTTTCACTTTTAGTTGGTTGAATTTTGTTTTTTTCTAACACAACAAAACAAGTTGTCATGGAATTCTTAAAAAAAAACACAAACTTAATGAACTAAATGGCCTCTCCCCACCCAGCTGAACTCCTAACAGCTCTGGCTCCATTTCTCTACAGGTCTTTGG